GAACATGGTCTCGCTGCCAGAAAAGACCAGGGAGGCAGTGTCCGGACAAAAACTCGATTCTGAGATTTTGTGCGTATCCGGGCCTATTCGCTATGCTGAATCCGAATATCTACATTGGAGAGCCGCGGAAAGGACGAAAGGGCTCTAAAGCAGGAGGGAGATTAGCCGGTGGGCGGGGTTCTCCCCACCGGGAATACAAGCTCCCAGTTCCTGGGCGACTTTCTCGATTCCGCTAGCCGCCCTGACATCGCCACCTGCCAAGTGCGAGCGATTGACTCGAAACCGGTACCGAGAAATCGCTCCGGCTTCTTTTGCCCGGCTGCCTTCAAAAAATCCTGCTGTTGCTCCCTTTCGTCCTTCCTCCAAAAAGAGTAGAGTGAGCTGGTCTTACTTTTAGAAAAGACCAAAGACTTTATGGCAAGCCGCGAAAATTTCCCAATAACTAGCTTTTATGTATCGGCCTCAACCCACTTGCTAGCGACCCGTAGGGTCGCTAGTCTTATATATAAAGCTGAATGTGTGTTTGGGTTGGGCTAGACTGCGCGGCGTACGCGACGTACGCAGCGTACGCCGCGTATGCTCCTATGATGAAATATACCGAACGTACGCTGCGTACGCCGCGTACGCCGCTTCCCCGCGAAGTCTGGCTCAACCCTTTGTTTGTCTGTCTGTCTGTCTGTACGCATGTGCGAAAAAGAAGTTTTTATTCTTGGACCGATTTAGACCAAACTTGGCACACATACACTTCGGGGCAAGGAGCATGTCATAGGCTATTTTCGTTATCGATTGATATCGATCTTATCAATTTTTATCAATTTTTTTTACAGAGTCCACCTACGGGGCTGGGAGTTGGCACAGGGGGGGGGGGTAAGTGAGCATGGCGATTCCGGATACAATATCAGTTTTCAGAATTATCGATTACTTTCATCGACTTCATCGATTATTGCTTTTCTGCGTTGACTGCCTGTGTGTCTTATTCTTTTCTCTTATTCATTCTCGAATGCTGGTTTTTTGCGTCAAATTTCTAGTCTTGCGCTGCGCGTATTTGCTTTTGCTGTTTTTGCAGTTTGGGCTGTGCATTATTTCATTTTGCGGTTTTTTGCAGTTTGTGCTGCGCGTTGCTTTTGAAGTAGGTTTAGAGATGATTGTTGGAACAGAAAAAAATAAGTGAAATGAGCTCTTTTTTGTTTGTTTTCCCTTTTTTACATGTTAATTTGATATTGACAAAAAACGGAATGATGCCTAGTCATTTCGGATAGCCTCTTTGCTTTTTTGCAGAAAAAGCAAGCGCTTTTGGGCTGACAGGAAGTCGCCATGTGCGTAGCTGGGCCTAAGCAGCGCTCGCACCTATTCAGGTGTACGATGCGCTCCCTACGCTCACTCAGTGTTGAATAGATCACTGAGTGAGCGTAAGGAGCGAGTCGTCCGTAGACCAATGGCATTTAGCGCAGAAAATACAATTAGAGGGAAGTAAATGAGGAGGGGTTGCCTGTTCTTCACGTTGTTGTGGCAGTGATGGTGGCGGTAGCGCTGCCGACGTCGACTGATAGTCGCCTCGAGGTGTCTTCTGTTTTGTCGGTGGGGGGCTGTTTGCTTACCCGATGTAATTTGATCTCTTTTCTTAGTCCATGGATTTCTTGCTGCAATGCCGACATGGCTTGTTGAATCGCAGACATGCCGGGGCACCCTTCGGGTGGGCAATTGACTGTATGCACGAGGGTTGTGACTGGGTCGCGGTATAGACTCTCCTGTTCTCTTTGCTCTTTAGGGCCTTCTTCTCCGACCCTTCTTCTGATTTCGTGTCGACTTCGTGCATGTGTGTGGCTTTCTTCTTCAGCCATATCTGAAATTGTTTGATTGGTTAAGTGTATAGAATGCTTTTGATTCACAATGCGATAATAGGAAGTTTAGATGCTTGATATGTGCTTGACAATGAATAAAAAATACGTATGCAAAAAAATGGTATGCGCAGGAGCAAACGTGCCATGCGCATAAGTCTTAATAAAAGAAATGGAAGGTTGAGAGGCGGCGGCACTGCAAGTTGTAGAATATTTTTGTAGATATCCCGGCGATAAGCTCTTCGACTTGAGCTTTGTTGCCTTCCTCTCAGATAATCGCTGAGGCAGGCGACCATGCGATTTATGGGCGGGCGGGCACCGGAAAAATAGTTCGCTGATTTTTTGCGGTCAGCTTGCAGATATTTGGAAGAATTTCAGCAAAATTTTAGACGAATGCTTGAAAAACAATCGCGGTTTCCTTATAGATTAGCTGCGGCGCATGGCCGCATTTTCGCGGACTTTCCGCGAGAATATGCAAAAATTTCGAGGGCCGCACAGTCCTTTATGGAGGACCGCACAACCCACAGGTACTTTCCGCTGAGAGAAAGTACCTCAAACTTGAGTAATTAAACCATCGATGACACCTCTGCCATGTAAAGTCTCACCTTTGCTCGGCGTACGCCCGAAACTGCTTAAAAACCTTCCGAGCGCCAGCTGAAAATTTGACCGGCGCTCGCTGAAAGAGATTATTTGACGAGCGCCTGCAGAAAATTCTGTGTTGCTGCCCGCTGGCAGAACATTAGACAGTAAAGGAAGTACCGCTCGCTGAAGGTTTGGCCACGCCCCAAAATTCTGCTGACCGCTTGCAGAAAAGCGCGACCGGACCACCTGCCCCCGGCGATTATCTGAGCTCGGCACACTGTGGCTGTTGCGCGCGATGATCAGCGTGAGGAAAATGCCCGTTGAGAATATGAAGTATTGCTTCAGAATTGGAAAGAACTCGGGTATATCTGGTAATTCTAGTTTGAAAGTATTGATCTCTATGTTGGTATTACCTTGTAGTACTTTCATATTATATGGAAATATTCCTTTAATGAAATGTACTTGGCCTGTGATTGAAAATACTTGCTGATTTGCGCCGCATTTTGCTTGGCATGTTTCGTTGAATGCGGCTTTATTGACGTAAAAATGTATCTCATTTGTATATCCTGTTGGTGTACATGCGATAGTGTATGACTGTGTGCGGCAGTTTATTTCCGCTATTGCGTGAGGGATGTTAGAAAAACATGACAAATAAGTCACCGCACCTTTTAAGCAGTTATAACAACCCAGTATCGATGCACTAGGTATGCGGCTGGAACTGTTTGTGTGTAAAACGGATATCTGATTCAGTTGTGTTGACTAATAGAGCAACTTCAATACTTGCTTCTAGTGTACGTATTGTTAGTCTATTATATTTGCCTTCAGTATTTATTAACGCATTCGGCATCTGGATTGGTGAAATTTGACTCAATTCTAATGCTTGAGACACACTGTTGTGTGTGCAGTAACAGTTTACGTTGTCTTCTGCTGGACAGCAAGAGCACGTGTCGCAGATAGTGCATTCTTTTTTCTTATGCAGTGATGAATCATTTTTTGCTTTGAGGCATGCGTAGCTGAAAGTGTGCTGTTGTTTTAATCTTGCCGTCATTTTTGAATTATCAATGAACGTGTCGCCTAGAAGCGGCATGGTTGGTATTTGTATTGATGTTATCTCTATGCGCATGCCATTAAAATTCTTTTGAACATTTTGTTCAAATTCTATAGTGTGAGTCTGCGGCTTTTCTTGGAATTTTGTTTGCGCAATCAAAACTGCCACCTTCATTGACCAAGTAGGGTAATGATAAACTTCGTATAAATCTTTGTCTGTTGGAAGGTGATAAATTCTTAAGAAAAGGCATCCTGAAGAAGGGAATCCGCAGGAGTACCCCAGTCCTCCATATGGTTCAGTGCAGTACGTTCTTCCGGTAAAATTGTTCGACATTGCAAGTTCTTCTATTTTCGAATCGGGGTGATTTTGTTTGGATATGAATTGTGGACGATTCGTTTGATTCCGAATCTCGTCCGCAAATGAAGCTAATATGTACTCGTCGTTTTGCAATGACATCCAAGTTGTCTAGCAATTCTGCCATTGTCCATATCTTATTTGAATCATACTCCCTTTTTGCTGCTTCTTCTTGTACACTTTTGGGAAACTTGTTAGTAACCGTTTGTAGTGGATTGGTGCTGGCTACGGCTTCTCCTTGTCAACGCATCTCAGTAACCAGCGTTAAAATGTCGTTGTAGGAATTTTGAAGTTGACGTGGGTCGTCGCCCACTCTTAAAAGTGTTTGCAGTTTTCGTAGCTTTTTGTTGCGACGTTCATCTTGATATTGTGCCCTTAGCTGCTGAATAGCTAAATCATAGGGTTTGGCGCTGCGCGGTATCATCATTAATGTACGCTCCGCGTCGCCTCTGCACATGCTAACAGAATGGATAGTTTTCTAGATTTGAATATGGTTGATTGTGCAACAATTCTTGAAATAGTTCGCAGAACGATTCGAATTCTGCTGATTTTCCGTAAAAATCGGGTACTCGCAGTTCATGGCCATACAGACAAACGCCAAGGATGTGGGTCCTCCCGAGTGGACGTTGTAGCAGCAGTAGTTTGATTACTTTGCGTGGGGGTCTGATTGAGATCTCTTCTTTGGTTACGTTCTTCCATAACCTGGAAAAGCAAAGTACATCGTCTATTTGTTTCCTGTATCGGTAGTGTTGAACTTGCTACCTCTGATGATGTTATGTTACCAGCTTGCTCTTGACATTCCAACTCCACGACTCGCACTTCCAGCTTTCGTCGAGTTGAGAAGCTGATGTCAAGACTTTCGTCTGCTTTCCGATTTTCCCAGTATGAATCGAATTTTTTATCAAGACCTTCTCCGTATGTTGTGTCATTCAATTTGAAAGTTTCCAAGGCACTTGCTTGATTGCTATATTCGGTCATGATTTGATCTTCCTTTTCTTGCATTTGATTGATTAGATTTTTGGGTATTGCTCTGTTTGCAAATATGAACCGGTGTTACTCTTCCACACTGGTTGGGTACTGCCACGGTTTCTTGAATGTATTTGCCTCAACAATCAAGCTCGCAAGCTCATTGAGTTGCCTTGTTCATCGTTGCTTACAGGATTTCATGTTGAATTCAGATGTCATATTTCAGACACGACAGCGTTGGACAGTCTATCCCAAGTATGAGGATGCTATGTGACTCTTATATAGCTGTTGATGTTCCGTTGTGAGATAAAATGAGTCTTTTGTTTTGTTTTCCATGTTCTTTTGATGAACATATGCTGTTATCTCTTTCTTCCCTTGAAACACTTGTTTTGTTTTGAGAACCCGATGATAATGCATTTCTCAACGCGTTGGATCTCTGATGAAAATCGAAGATAATGAGGTTCTCTCAAAATTCGCAGAATTTTGTGCTAGCAAAATTACAATCGTAATGGAGATCTCCTTTGTTTTCCCAGCAAGTTCCGGACAACGCGGCAGTTATTTCAGGTTGCCCGCCCTAGACGATTATTTCGGGCTGTCTTCCCTAGGCAGTTAATTCAGGTTGCCTGCCATAGACAACTATTTTTCTTGTTGTCTATCTATAATTTGGTACTGAATTGATGTGCGCTTGATCTGTGCGTGAACAACCTTGTGTAAGGCGATGGTGGCAAAAGTGGTAGTAAAAAGGGTTATCGGGAGGTGAAGGTGATTAAGCTTCACGACACTTTGAATGGAGTTGGAAAGAAAAACCAATTTAAGAAGGAAAGGAAAAAGGAAGAAGTAAAATTAACTGACTGTTCGCGCTTAACTTTGTTTTTTTTCTACATTCATCAACCCGGCAGATGCACCAAGTCTTGGCCATTAACAACCAGGTTCTAACATTTATTGATTGAAGTGTATTAACCAAGTGTAAGGTTCATTAAAAGCATTGGATATCACAAGCTCCCTCGTCATAAGCTTCTCTTCCCTTTATACCGTCAACGGGGCCCGCCTTCCTTACATCATGAGAATCACGACATGATCTTTGTAATGTATGATAATGGCTAGATCTATGTAAGGTAACCATTGCAGCGGAAACTTATAGACATTAACGTTTGCTATTGTGCTTATATGGTCATGCGATTTCACAGGCATGTGACCGTGTTGACAAGATAATCTTTTGTCCATGTTACAGCGATTTCATATGCCAAGTTTCGCCTATTTGTTTCATCTAACAAGTGATTTTGCCATCTTCAAAATTCCATCATTTCAACATCTGTGGAACTAATCGTGGAGGTGCTAAAGTGGTGCCGATTATTAGGTTTCCTACGATTCTATGAGCAGAATCAGCGCTGAGGATTTGACAATAGATTTTTCGAGGTTTTAATAACCGATTGCCGAAAAAGAAAGATGACAAATTCACTTTATTCACCCCAAACACAAGAGATCGAAAGCCATACTTACATTTTTGTACAAGCTCTATAACTTATATTTTGCGACAAAAATCTTTGTGCATTTCTATACCAATGACAGTCACTATCGTCTCAATTGCTGTCAGATTAATTCCTATTGGCTGCCATACCCAGTTTACTAAGATGAGAGTCGCCCTTTAAACTATCAAACAGCACTTACTTGGATATGTCAGTTCTATGCATCATTTTGTTCTAGGGCGGTTGGAAGTGGTACGGGGCAACAGGGCTCGGCACGAGCTGGCACCAGGGAATTTTCAAAACGAAGTCCCCCTTGAAATTTGGAAATTTTTACGAAGTCCCCTTTGATTCTCAACGATATCTTATATATAAAGCTGAATGTCTGTTTGTATGTATGTATGTATGTCTGTCTGTATGTATGTATGTGTGTACGTATGTTCCGAATAGAAAATTCCATTTCTGAACCGATCCGGACCAAACTTGGCACACATACACTACGGGCCCCGGCGGGTGTCATAGGCTACTTTTCGTCATCGATCGATATCGATTTTATCGATTTTTATCGATTTTTTTGCTGAGTTCACCTGCGGGGCTGGGAGTTGGCACAGGGGGGTAATCGAGCATGGGGATTCCGAATACAATATTGGTTTTCAGGATTATCGATTACTTTTATCGATTTTATCGATTTTTTTGCAAAGTTTGAGCTACGGGGCTGGGAGTTGGCACAGGGGGGTAATCGAGCATGGGGATTCCGAATACAATATTGGTTTTCAGGATTATCGATTACTTTTATCGATTTTATCGATTTTTTGCAAAGTTTGAGCTACGAGGCTGGGAGTTCGCACAGGGGGGTAATCGAGCATGGGGATTCCGAATACAATATTGGTTTTCGGGATTATCGATTACTTTTATCGATTTTATCGATTTTTTGCAAAGTTGGAGCTAGGGGGCTGGGAGTTCGCACAGGGGGGTAATCGAGCATGGGGATTCCGAATACAATATTGGTTTTCGGGATTATCGATTACTTTTATCGATTTTATCGATTTTTTGCAAAGTTGGAGCTAGGGGGCTGGGAGTTGGCACAGGGGGGTATTCGAGCATGCTGATCATCCCCAAGGGGGGTGATCAGCATGCTCGATTACACCCCTGTGCCAAATTCCAGCCCCCTAGCTCAAATTTTCAAAAAATCGATAAAATCGATAAAAGTAATGGACGATCTTGAAAACTAATATTGTATTCGTAATCTGCATGCTCGATTACCCCCTGTGCAAACTCCCAGCCCCGCAGGTCAAACTTTACAAAAAAAATCGATAAAATCGATAAAAGTAATGGACGATCCTGAAAACTAATATTGTGTTCGTAATCAGCATGCTCGATTACCCCCCTGTGCAAAATCTCAGCCTCGCATGTCAAAATTTACAAAAAATCGAGAAAATCAATAAAAGTAACCGATAATTCTGAAAACTAATATTGTATTCGGAATTCCCATGCTCACTTCCCCCCTGTGCCAACTCCTAGCCCTGTAGGTGAACTCTGCGAAAAAATCGATAAAAATCGGTAAAATCGACATCGATCGATAACGAAAAGTGGACTGTGACACCCGCCGGGGCCCGAAGTGTATGTGTGCCAAGTTTGGTCCGGATACGGCGGAGCCGGGTAAGCCAGCTAGTCCCCTCTAAAATCCTAACCCCCCCCCCCCCAAAAACGAAACGTCGACTAAAAAAAAGGTCGCCGTCGCCAATTTTGCGTATCTCTTCGCCCACAAAAACGAAACCCCTTTGCTTTTTGCTCCAAAAACGATATCCAGCTTGCCCCGTGCCAGCTGGTGCCAGGCCCTGCGGGGCAATCAAAATTTCACTAACCCCCGTACCACTTCCACCACCCTAGCTCAAAATTTGCAGAACGTCGGTAAAATTGATGAAGGCAAAATCAATGATCTCAATAATTTCGCAATCAGCCGCTTTCCATTGCGAATAACATCTTACCGCTGATTTGTGTGAGTACCTTGATCAACTAAACTTCCTTCATATATTCGTCTTTTCATTACATGCTTAAATCAACCTGGTTTTTTGAGAGGCTCTAGTGAGCTGAAATCAAGTTCCTTTCAAAATTGCGAGACTCTTGATTTCTGATGTTACGCTTAGAGGCAAATTTTGAATTTCCTCTTTTCCATGTTTTAAGCATTTTGACACGTAGAACACGAATTTAAGCTTTGAACCGGGTAAAAGACTGTTTTTGGACCGTTCGCCCAATTTCCTAAAAGCAGCTCATACGAGAGTTTTGATAAAAAGTTCGAAGATCCTGGCAAAAAAACCATGTTGTCTGTAACTTTGCTTGGATAGCATGCATAAAAAGGGAAGTCGTGGTTACCCGCGCCGAACATGTAAGCGAAGCCGTCCGAGCAAAAGCCGATTGGGGTTGCGCACGCCGGTACGGGCTATTTTTTTAGCGTACAAAGAGCATCAACCAGCCGGACTGGACTTGGATGTTAGTGAGATTACCAGCAACGCCACCACAGCTGTATTCCACAGGGCGCGAAACCGGCTAGGCGCTTAAAACGATTACTCGCTCACATATGTCTTACTCACTTTGTTTGAGAAGTATATGTGTGCAAAGTTTGGTCCCAATCTCGCAGGAAATAGGTTATTCCAATTCTATGACATTTGTCTATACATGCAAACAAATAGGCATTGACTTTGTTTATAAGGTGCGACGATATCGGTTATCATCAATCTTATCAGGATACTACTGAAAATGATCGCTCTGCGCACTGTACGTATCCATTAACGAATTCACGACAACACGACCGAAAGGTGGGTCCTATTCTCGAACACTGACGTTAATGAAAAAACTACTAGAGATTTCAGCACATGTTTAGAGACATTTGGAGTCTAACTGTAGAGTGTCCTGGCAAAAACTTGATTTTTAGAAAATCCACTTACCGGGGGTTATCCGCAACGCTGAGTCTGTAAATCCACTTTAGCGGGCGCGAAAACGGCGAAAACATGCGTTTTCCCAAGCCTTACTATTTGAAGTGCGACGGTCCCATTCCTGAGACGTAGAGTCGCTGTAGGACCCACCATTTCAACGGTGGCGGCAGCATGCGTACTCTGCTGCAGAGCAGGAATTCAAACAGGTGGAGGACGCCGCTTCAACGCGTTAGTGTCCCCACTTTCCGATCTTTTTTCTTGCTTTAGATCGAACGTTATAACCAGGGGCGAGCAAAAGTTGTGGCACACAACCGCCGCTACAACCCCCACCCTTGAGTTCTGTCTCGATATCCCCTCCCCCACAGCATTTTCGTTCTTTTACCATGGTCATAGAAGCTCTACCAAGCATAACTGGCAACATATTCATAACTATCATGTCAAATAACCCTCGTGGGTTATGTTTCAGCGAATTCTAAGCGTTTCCAACATTGGGCTCAAGTGAAGTGGTCATCTTTGAACACGGTTAACCGTATTTTAGAAGTGAATAAGCTACCTCCTTTTGCACTCAGAACAAAGCACTACACTATTTTGCCTATACCATGAATCTGTCACAGATAACCGTTAACCTGTGGAATTAGGAGCCAGCCAAAACCTCGTTTGTCCCATTTTTCGCCTACCGTGGTTGTGCTTCCAGCAACACTATTGTTCAAACGAAAGAAGATAAATTCAGCTCTAATCATTTTCACAAACACTACGAGATTTTAACTTGAACTGTATATTATGTTCTCTAATCTTCCCTTTGAAGGTAAGTTAATGGGGTGTGGCACAACCCCTGAAAAGCTGTGGCTGCCACAGCTTTTAGGGGTTGTAACACACCCTATTAACTTACCTTCAAACCACTCAAGTACCTGCATTTTTTATCGTTGCCTGCCTGACCTTCTTCTTCACACAGGGGATTTCATTTGGAATCGTATCTTCTAGGGATCTTTTATAGGGGACTTTAGGATCCCGAGACTCGGACATGCGTACGGCCATTGCGCCGCGCACGTCCGATGTCACTAAGGCAGATGCCAGACTTATCCTCTTCAGCCGGTTTGTTCGGTTCATAGGTCAAATCACTACACTGTCCAACAGCAAAGGTGGTGAAACAAATGAACCTGTTCAACAGGATAAGTCTGGCACATACCTGAGTCGTCGGACGCATCTGACGTGCGCGGCGCAATGGCCGTACGCACTCCGATCCTCGTGATCCTGCAGGCCTCTATACTATGCAAATGGAAAATACTGCAAAACTATTGGGTTACGGTAGCATATTAAGCCTGCGCTTATGTGAATCGCGAAGGAAGGCAACAAGAATGTACATATTGAGTAGTTCAAGCCTCATAATTTACACTAAATTGATTCAAGCCTAATTGGCTTTAGTCTGAGATGTTAAAAGCGAAAATGGGACAACCGAGATCTTGGCTTGCTCTTAATTTATAGTTTGGAGGTTATTTGAGGTGGGATTCCTAAGCAAAGAAGTAGAGCAAAGAAATAGTTCTTTGTATTATGTGCAAAAAGAACAATAAACTCACCTTCGGAACAAATTTAGCATGCTCAAATTGACCATCTCACTTGGATGCCAAGGTATGTGGAAACCTCAGAACTCGCTGAAACTTGGCTCAGGGGGCTCACTTGCTAGTTACTAAAACGATGCGTTTTTGCTTTTATAAACCTTTTATCATGCTTACTGCATGTATACGATGGTGGGCTAAAATGGCATGCCACACCCCACGCTTGACCCTGTCATAACCTCGCACTTGTGCGATGGTGTGTCTGAGATGGGCCACGTCGCATGGTACTGAATTCCAAAACCCCAACATTGCTTGGACACTGCCTTCGAAGGCAGTGTCCAAACAAAAAGTCAATCCATAGATTTTGTGCTTACCCGGGCATGATCGCTAGGCTGAATCCGAAAATTTACACTGGAGAGCGCCAAAAAGGCAAAAAAGGGCTCTTACGCAGGAAGAAAAGCAGAAGTGGACAGGTTTTCTCTACTGTGAATTCGAGCCATGCATCTGCCGCCACCCTGTCCCTCATCTCCTATTCCACCGCCGTACCACTTCAGCATCGGGGAGTTTATGTGGAGCACAAAATTTCAGCGCAGCGTGCTGGCGTGCATGGCCGCTGTGCGCGTTGTGACTGCTGGCGTAGCCTCCCTTAAAGGCAATGTCCAAGCAAATACTCGATTTTGAGATTTTGTGCTTACTCGAGCCTATTCGCCATGCTGAATCCGATAAATCACAACGGAGAGCGCGAAAACGCCAAAAAAGGCTCTAACGCAAAAGGGAAATCGCAGGTGGGCGGGGTCGTTCACACCGTGACGTCACTCTCTCAGGCTTTAGGAGCGATCTTCTCGGTTCCAATTTCATGTCACGCGTTTCGCAGTCGGCTGGTGGTGATGTTAGGGCGACTAGCGAAAGCGAGAAGATCGCTCCTGAAGCTGGGAGACTGACGCCGCCATGTGAACAGCCCCGCCCACCTGCAACTTCCCTCCTCCGTTAAAGCCTTTTTTCGCCGTTTTCGCGCTCTCCACTGTTAATTTTCGGATTCAGCATAGCGAACAGGCCCAGGTAAGCACAAAATCTCAAAATCGATTTTTTGCTTGGACACTGCCTTAAAGGCGTGCAAACTGTCCCCACTCCCCTTCGATGCGGAGTTTTTGTGGGGAAATTCATGCTCATGTGGGCGGTGGGTCCCCATGCAGTAGCATGCAACCCGATGAGAGTCGCCCGCCAAATAGGTAGCGGGGTCTGGTTTGGGGATGGGATGGATACTACCTTGGAAGGTATGAAACGTTGACTCCGAATCTACCTTGCTTATCTGCTGCACGTTCCTAGACGAGGAGTTACGAAGATTTTTATGAGCAAAAATTTGCATGTGCAGCTAGAAAAGTAGTAACATTTTTTCTACAGCTCGAGTGGTTTTCGGCTTACTCTGTGCAACAAATATCCTTAATATAAACATATCCACTAGGCTAAATCGGAACGCTAGGAAAGATCAACGACCAGAGGTGCGATAGTCGGAGCCGAATCTCCGCCAACCTTCACTTTTGAGCTGGTACGGGGTGACCACCTTCACTTTTGAGTTTGAAAATTTTTTTTGCTGAAACTCAAGAGAAGGAAAATAAGCAAAAAGAACGCAAAAGAAAGTATTGAGAGCATATATCTATGTAGTAGGTCGATCCAGGCAGTAACCACCGAGAACCAGATTTTCGAATAATAATAAAATAGCGAAAAATCATGCGCAACTTCCACAGTTATAAATCTGGTCGTTGAAGATGTCAGCAACGACTTCATAGATTTTGAAGGGCAAGTGTTGTTCTACCGGACAGTGAAAGAACTAGATCGATCTGAGCAGTGGTCGCCGAGAGCGAGAATTTTAAAAAAATTAAACGATTTTAGGTTATTTAGTGACAGCTTGCATTTAGACTCCAATAAATCTGGAATGTGAAGGTATGCAATGTTGCGACTTCATAGGTTGGATTCTCCTTTTCAAGAACTTTCAGATGATATATGATATGTGGGGGTTTCGCGCCCCTCACGGCATATGCCCGGGGGTGGAGACTTTTCACCCCAAAGTCTCCACTAGCCGTCTCCGGCCAATACATTAACATGGGCGAGGTGGAGACTTTGGGGTAAAAAGTCTCCACCCTGGGTTAGAGCCGCAAAAATCATTGAACTCCCCACACATCATATATCATTTGGAAGCTCTTGAAAAGGAGAATCCAACCTATGAAGTCGCAACATGATTCATGCAATTCTGAAGAAGTTATGAGCTGTTGAAGTTCAAAAAGCGGTTTTTTACCTGTTTTTTTTAAGAGCCTGAATCTCCGCGGTATCTTGATGGATCGGTAGCTAAGACATAGTCCGATAGAGCAATTCTTGCTCTACAAAACCTATGAAGTCGCAACATTGCATACCTTCACATTCCAGATTTATAGGAGTCTAAACGCAAGCTGTCACTAAATAACCTAAAATCGTTTAATTTTTTTAAAATTCTCGCTCCCGGCGACCACTGCTCAGATCGATCTAGTTCTTTCACTGTCCGGTAGAACAACACTTGCCCTTCAAAATCTATGAAGTCGCAGTTGCTGACATCTTCAACCACCAGATCTATAACAGTGGAAATTTCGCATGATTTTTCGCTATTTTATTATTCGAAATTCTGGTTCTCGGTGGTTACTGCCTGGATCGACCTACTTTATTCGTAATACGTTATAACAAAATTTACTTGATAAAATACGTAAAGTCTAACTGGGTTTTACTTACAAATAGACCATTTGAATAACACGTTAAATTCTTTTTTTTCTGCCGCTGTACTCATCGTATTTGTGGCCCTAAAGAGGGCCGTTAGGTCACACTTGTTGGCTCTCAAGGAGACCTTTGGGTCAGAGTTCTTCAATTATCCGAAGTCCCCCCCCCCTTCCCCCCCCCCCCCCCCGGTCGACGTTTTTGAGAGGTGAGTGTCCGGCACTACCACCTTCACCTTTGGCCGGCTAGTGGTAGCTGGAACCACCTTTACTTTGGGGGGCCCGGCTCCACCTATCGCACCTCTGTCAACGACTGATTTTACGCTGATCATGCATTGAACTTCTGCCCATAAAAACCTTCAAAACTCCTTGCTCAAAAGCCCGCAGCAAATAAGAAAGGTGCTTTGGAATCAGTTATTTAAAATCACAAGTTTCGTACTCTTCAAGTCAGTGTATATCTAATACAGAAAGGCCACTTCGACTGACCTTCATTCCCTTGTTAAACGGCTCCCAAATTCCGTTCCGACGTGCAATATCCATGTCCAGTTTCTCGGGAAGCTGCCTAAGATGTCCTTAAAGGCAGCGTCCAGGC